GCAGCCCGAGGGCATACGAAGAGATGCTGTGAGTCATGTTGCGACTCTCCGCATTCCGGGCATTCGTTAAGAATATCGTCTGCTTAGGTATGAGTTCAACCTGCTGCAGTAAGCAGAGCGCAATTGGGCTTTTGTGGTCCGAGTCTCCCGAGGCAGACGAAGTTCTGTCTCGTCCACGTCTGCTGTTTGTGCCCAGAACGGCATTCACAGGTCGGGAGTCTACATAACTCGAGACTGCCTCTCTGTGAATGCCGTTCAAGACTTGTCGATAAGCTGTCGGGTCCAGAGGTTGTTTGATGAACCTCTGGACTTCGTCCGTCAGTTCGTAGAGATGCCTCCTGACGTGCCTGGGCGAAGGCTCTTCTGCAAGGAGTTGCCTGTTTGGATGCCCACTTCTGTGACTCCCAACCAGGAACTGCCTGCAGAGCATTGTGTTATGCTCCTTAACAGGGAGCATGTGGGCCTCCTCGTGCAGGTGGTGTTGCGGCGACATCCAAGAGGCATCCTGTCGATGTCCAAGTGCCGTGTTCTGGCAAGTCTGCAGCTTCATCCACTACGTCCTACTAGTCCCCGGTGACCACACGGGCGCAGCGTAGTTCAGAAACGGCCGGCCAATTGCCTGGTACGTTGCGAGCAACGTTTATTTTTATTTGCCCCAGGTGCTGCCGGCTAGCGACTTGAGGACCTTGTTGCAGCTTTGTACTTTATTGTTGTTGTTGTTGTTGTTGTAGCGGCTACAACAACCCCGCCCAGGACAGTTGGTATCTCAGTCGTTGTCGTCAAGTTCCACTAACGGCAGCCCTAGGAAGCGTGCAGCTTCTGTTGGGTTGGTCCACAGGGACAAAGCCTTTAGGGTTGTCGGGTTTTCCGGGCATGCGAAGAGATGTTTCGAGTCATGTGGGGTCTCTCCGCATGCCGGACACTCATTTGGCACATCCTCATTCAATCTACTCATGTAGGAGTTTAACCTGCTGCAGTAGCCAGAGCGAAGTTGGGCTATTGTCGTTCGTGTCTCCCGAGGCAGATGAAGCTCCGTCTCGTCTATGTCCGGGGGCGGTATGCCTAGAACGGCATTCACATGTCTAGAGTCTACATAACTCGAGACAGACTCCCTGTGAATGCCGTTCAGGGCCAGTCGGTAAGCTGACGGGTCCAGAGGTTGCTTGATGAACCTCTGGACTTCGTCCGTCAGTTCATATAGATGCCTCCTGACGTGCCTAGGCGAGGGCTCCTCTGCAAGCAGCTGTCTGTTTGGGTGGCCACTTCTGTGGCTCCCGATCAGGAACTGCTTGCACAGCATTATGTTGTGCTCCTTTACGGGGAGCATTTGCGCTTCTCCGTGGAGATGATGTTCGGGCGACATCAGGAGGCATCCTGTCGCTGTCCTGAGTGCGGTGTTCTGTACAGTCTGTAGCTTCGTCCACTGCGTCCTACTAGTCCCCGGCGACCACACTGGCGCTGCGTAGTTTAAAACCGGCCGGCCTATTGCCTTGTATGTTACCAGCAACGTTTCTTTGTCTTTGCCCCAAGTACTGCCGGCTAGCGACTTGAGGACCTTGTTGCGGTTCTGTACTTTATTGACAATAGCGGTTGTGTGCGCAGAGAAGGATAGCAGGCTGTCGAATGTTACTCCGAGTATTATAGGATTATTCACCGTCGGAATTGGTGTGTCATCGACGTGAATTCCAAGCGGTAGCCTGATCTCCTTCGTCCAGGTTGTGAACAGGGTCGCAGAGGATTTCGTAGGGGAGAGGGCTAGACACTTTGCAGTGAAGAAGCGAGAAAGGTCAGAGAGATATCCGTTTACTTTCGAACACAAGTCATCAATTCCATTCCCAATCGCCATGATCGAGCAATCGTCGGTGTAAGAGACAATCGGACTCCTTCTGGTGGTTGAGGGAGCTTTGAAATGTAAAAGTTAAACAGTAGTGGGGAAAGGACGCCACCCTGTGGAACCCCCTGTTTTATTTTTCTAATTTTGCTCGATTTGTCTCTAAACATTACCGACGAGTGTCGACCACTCAGCTTGAGCCTCGGTGGGAGAGAGGAAGCCTCTATATCTTCTAGTGGCGTGGAATGGCTGACAGTGTCAAAAGCCTTTGACAGGTCCAACGCTACTAGAATCGTTCTGACAGGGACGTTTACAGTTAAGGCCACGAGTCATCTGAGTGTTTATGGCGTTTAGTGCTGTTGTTGTACTGTGCACTTTACGGAAGCCATGCTGATGCTTCGCTGGGGTCAAGTGGTTTGTGAAGTACGGGAGTAGCAAGGCCTCGAGTGTCTTCGCTACCGGGGAAAGGAGTGTTAGCGGACGATAAGAATCTCCTATGTTGGCGGGTTCCCCGGTTTGAGCAGTGGGACCACTCTCCCCACCTTCCAGATGTCTGGGATGATGAGAGTGGCCATGGACACTCCGTTAGGTACGCTACCCCCGCAGGACACAAAATTTTTCAGCATCAGCATGCATATTCCGTCGGGACCCATGGCTTTGGAGGCTTTCGGCTTCCCGATGGCCACCCGAACTTCACCGCAAGTGAAAGCAAGGGGGGCACAAGTTGTTGGCAGTTTGTGCAGCCTTCTGGTCACTTGACGCTTGGCTTTGTCCACCGGAGGATGCAGTATGAACTGCCGGCTAAAATAGCTCGCGCATCGCTCCGGGTCCGACGAAGCATGGTCGCCGTAAGAAATTTCGACTCTGTCGTCGTGCTTCGTCGGATTGGACAGTGGCCTCACGGTTGACCAAAGCTTACTCACACCAGAGGCGAAGTTACAGGTCTTCAGATGCTCCTCCCACTTCTTCCGCTTATGTACGTTTACTAGTTGCCTAATCTCCCTAATACGGGGATCTCCGGGATCGGCCTGACGAAGGCTGTCGCGCTCATGGGCTAGAACAGCCGCTTCGGCAGGGAAGTTTGGTTGTGAGTCCGTTATACATCCTGCCGGTATGAAGCGAGCTGCAGCAGCAGTGAAAGCCCTGCGGAACTTAGGTTCACCGAGATGGACGTCGGTTGGTGTGGGAAGCGCAGTGAAGGTGTTTTCAGTAAACTCCGCGTAACCTTTCCAATCAGCTTTAGAGAAGTTGATATAGGTCCGATGTTTAGCGGAGGCAAAGTCGGTTGGTTTATCTATCGAGATGACTATGGGTAGATGGTCTGATACTAAAGTCAGCATAGGTCGCCATGTTATGCTGTTTATCAGACCAGCGCTGACTATGGTGATGTCTAGCGAGCTGCTGCAAATATGTTAAATATTTCGAGCTCGACATCGCCGGACCGGATAGCAATGCCCTGACATTCTAGGGTGGTATCCCTGCGGTCGATGTCTGCTTCGATAAGACGACACTGCACGGTGTGGTGCGTGATGAACGCTAAGCCCCCACCATTATCTCGCTCGCGATCTCGACGGTGCACGTTGTACCCGGCACAATTCAACAATGTTGAATCGCTGTGCAACTTCGTCTCTTGGACCGCAACTATCAATATACCATGCCGACACATAAAGACGGTTATCTCCTCAACCTTGCTCTGTAGCCCGTTACAGTTAAATTGAAGGAGCTTCATGTGGTTCGGGAGACGTGTTGTGATGTGGGGTGTAAGGGATGTGTGTGTTCTTACTGCCGTTGGCTGTGTGCGCTGCTGTGATGGTTGCCCCCCGTGGTGGTGGCGGGAGGCATCGCAGTTGGGGTCTGCGACCGAGCAGCACAACACGGGCCCTCGAAGTTCTTCGTCCAGTCTCGCGTGGTACGCAGACCTGAGCATGCCCTAAAGTGGCACCAGCCAAGGCAGGTGTTGCACTTGACTGATGTCACATTACGGAATATCCTGGTCTGACATACCGTGAAGATTGGAGTAGGAACCAGGAGTTGTTGGCGGCGGCGTGTGGGTGGTGGTGCGGCTGTGTGTGTTTTATGGTCTGTCGTGGCTGTGGTATGGTCTGTGGTGTTATTATGTTGTTGTGCTGTGATGACTGTGTGAGGCTGCTCTGGTGGACTGAGGTTTGCCGTGGAGGCTGCTCTGTTTGAGCAGCAGGGGGCCACATACGGCGTGGTCCACTGCCGATGTGTCCGTAGCCCTGAGCAGACTCTAAGGTGACACCACCCCTCGCAAGCATTGCACTTGACAGAGGTGGAGTTGTGGTGTAGTCGTCTCTGGCATACACAGCAGGTGTAGGTTTCTGGTCCTGGGTTTGACTCGATGCCAGCCCTGAGTAGGAGAAAACGTAGCGAATGTAGCCCTATGGACGAACAACTTCTGAGATACTTCGACGACCTAACCGAGGTTAGATCGCCGAAACAACAGCCCTTCCTTGGTCTGGTAAAACCAGTCATTCCGGTACGTAGAACCGGCTGTGGTGGGAATGCGTAGAACCGGCTGTCGTGGGATGGATGTGAGGGTTGTTGTTGTTGTTGTAGCAGCAAAAAAATTCCCCAAAGACTTTTTGGGGAGTGTTGCTGGAGTGACAGTCCTTGGCCAGATATGGATGTGAGGGTCTTGAGCGCTGCCTGACTGTCGGACCACGTAAATAATTTCTATAATTATTTTAAAGAAGTGTATTATCTATACTAATTTGGTTTAGATCCGATGATTGGATCATGAAGAAATTAACGGTACTATAATCTTTTATAAGAGAAGGGTACGGTTCGGTTGTTGTTGTTGTTGTTGTACCGGCAACATCAATCCCTCCCAGATCGGTTAGTATCTCAGTCGTTGTCGTCAAGTTTAACTAACGGAGACACAAGAAGCGTGAAGCCTCTAAAGGGTCTGACCACAGCGACAGAGGCGACAGTTGCGTCGAGTTTTCCGGGCATACGAAGAGATTGTTTCTTGTCGCGTAGCATCTTCACCAAATAGTCTGTACGAAATGTTTATTTTCTAGATTAATTAATAAATAAATAAATAAATGAGGAATGCTACATCAATGGTCTTCGTATGGAATTGAGGCAACCCACGTGGAAAAGAAAGATTTAAATTTATTCGGTTTTAATAACTTTTTTAACTTACCTTCGCTTTTCTTTAGGTTTACCAGTGGCTGTCAGTGTTGCTTTAGACTTGACACCTGCTATTTCACCAGGTTTATTGATGCTTGAATTGACTGCAACCATTTTCTCGAGCAATTTTTAACTTTGTTAAATAAATTTTAATTTCACTTTCTCTGTTCTGTTAGATGTATGTACATATATCATTTGAGAAACTTAACCGATTGGGAAGCCGCTATTATTATCGCCTTTTATTCCGTCTCAAATTATTGACGTAAATCCTTTGGATACAATACACATAATACACAATGCATATAAAAAAAAATTCAACATTGACCCTTTAAGATTACAGTCGATTTTC